GTACGAAAACCATTAGTTACAAATAATAATTTACCACCAGTAACTATTGAACAATTACTTGGTTTACGTGGTGATATACCTGATGTTCATAATTGGACAATAGATGAATTAATTGAATTTTTTCATCAACAAGGATATGATTATGCATCTATACTATTAAATCAATATCATATTAATGGAAATAAATTATATGAATTAACACGTGAACAAGTTTTTCATATGTCAACACTTAAAATTGGTAAAGCACTTAAATTATGGAATGTTATTGAACAAATACAACGAAATAATCATTCGTTATCTTCGAAATAAGAAAAAAGAAAAATTTTGTTTTTGTTTTATGTTTTTGTATGTGTGTGTGTCTATATATGTGTTGCTTGAAGTAAAACACAGATTTGGAGTTATTCTCAAAAAACAAAAAAGTGGAAATTATCTAAATCTCAAGATAGGGAATATGATACAACAAACAACCTTTAATTTTAACAGACGATCTCGATATAATCATACATGATTAAATTATTTATTCATTTTTGTGTAGGGAAAAAAACTCGAATTGTTAATCTCTGAAACATTTCGAGTAGAAAAATTTCACTGGTGAAGGAACATCTCCTAGTGTTCATTTGCTTATTGATCGAGGCCACATCCAGGTGAGAAACCATAGTGAGTAGTGTAAAAATCCAAGAAGGTTCGCGTGTCTGACCCACCCTTCGTGAGATTTCGAGTTTCGACTTGAAATATTTCACAAGGAGTTCGTATCATTGAGAGCTTTATTTGTAGAAAGTTTCAAGTCGCAATTTGATTTCTGATGAACAATGACTCAGACAACCGAACTCTCTTAGGCTTTTACAATATTCATTATGATCTTTCAATTGAATATAATCTTAATCAAAAAATCAATTGGACACTTCGAAACGTTCACTTCTGAGTCCTGCTGCTCAATTAAGTTTTCGTGATCAAAACATATTCTGAACACTTTTAAATAGTCGAATTTTGCTACATAAATCTTGTTAAGATTTTGAATATTCAGTATGATATGTCATTTTCTATCGAAGTAATGTATTGGTGAATATCTTCAAAATATAATTCTAATCTATATTGAGTGAATAAAAGAGATCTATTTGAATTAATGTAAATTATTGTCTTTTTAGTGGAGAGCTATGTTCAAATTTCCAAAATTATTAACATAGGAGAAGATAATTTCTAGCAAATTTGTTAATTACTAACAGTTAAGAAAACATCTCTCACGAAAATTTCAGAAATTAATGAAAAATTTTAGTATTTACTTATGAGGGAATCACATGGATTGGCACCCGTCGTTTGAGTTTATATTGAGCTTACAGCGAGGTCTCAATAAAACTGAAGAAAATCTAAAAGAGTTTGTTCCCATAGTCCTTTGGAGCCAACACTAACGGTTGTTTGTCTTGGATCATCTGTCCAATAACATGCTGACTACGAGATTAGATGTATGAATCTGTCGTTAGGCAGTACTTCATACCAAAAGGCAGGGATTTTATTCTTTTGAAGCCAGATTATAGGATCAGTTTACTCGATTTTTGAACCGGCTTTGTGTATATACTGAAAAGTCAAAAAAACGAATTTCGACGTAAAATTTTGTCCATATATAGGTTATGTGATTCGTAGAATATCCTGAGAGTTTCAGTCGAAAAGAATGTTCTCTTGTTGGGATATCGAGTTTCCAAAAAATAATCGTTTGTAAGAAGCATAATACAAAAAAATTAAGTTTACTTATGAAATTTTCGCGGTATTACATGAATCATTAGGCCTATCGACGAGTAGAATTTTACACCAAAGTCCTACGTTTTGATTTTTTGTTATAAATGTAAAGCGAGGTGAAAAATTTAGTTAAACGATTATAACTCGGCTTGAAAGGTTCAAGGAAACGAACTCTTGTGGAACTTTATGAGTCTTACTAAGATGTTCTCATAGGCGCAATATGGGTTCAAATAGCGGGTATCAACTGGTGTGATTTTCTCGAAACTACTGAGATAATATCATACTATTTTATTGGGAGTGTGAAGTGGGTTCCTAGATTTCTAAAGACTTGTAACTTCATTTATAAATCTCTATATTAAAGAATTTTTAAAAAATTTTGTAATTTCTTTTCTATGAATTCGTAATTACCGAAGCTTCTCAGTAACCGTCTGTTCATATGTTAATAATGTCGGAAATCTAAACACTACTGAGATAGAAATTTTTTGTTACTAGTGGATAAGAAATTTTCTCCGTTTTTGCACAATGTATAATTTATATTTGTCATGTATTTCTGAATAAAATGAGAAATATTTGTACAGTAAATTTATAATTTTCTATCATGAAATTCGTAAAGACATCTTCTAAAATGACGATTAATTATTGTTCTCCGTTGTCTACAAAATATGCTTGTGACGAATATATATAAAAATGCAAAGTTATTGTACGAGTAGTTCTTGTTTCATTTCATTTATGCATGTGTCACACATGTAAATTATATGCATTTTTTGAAAGAGGAGAAAATTTTCTATCGACTGATTAAAAAAAAATGGTGTTTTATCGAAGTATAACGATCGATAGAGAGTACCGTGGTTTAATTGAAAAAATGCGGAGTATTTCTGAACGATTCTTATCTTTTCTATTGCGTTGTTTCGTTTATGAACGTGTTAGGACAATAAATTATACACAATTCAAAACAGAAGACAAAGATCTATCTTTTGATAGCGGTTTTTTTCTTCTAGCATGAGAGGTATGTTGCATCAATTTTTAGTCCGATCATTGGATCTATGAGGAAAAGTTGGGTGAACTACATTTCGTCTCACTCTTTTCCGAACTCCGGACACATGTCCGGAAATTAACTTTCGTCCTTAAAGATTTATGATGGTAATTCGTAAACATTTGTGTACAAGAGATAGCAATAGAAAAGCAGGAAAATCAGAATGGTTCAACTGGATGTTCGGAATGTATATGGATATTTCCATGGAGTTTCAACCGTGCATACAAAAAATGATCTTCGATTTTGATGAAATTTTCAGCATTTATAGAATGTTTAATCCTAAGCATTTTAATTAAAAAAATTTTTCGAAAAGCTTTTGTTTTGAGATAGATAAGTTCAAAATACTTTAGACATTAAAAACTGAAAATCTTCAGAAAAAATGATTTTTTTGAAAAAAATTTAACAAATAGTTTTTGATAGTTTACATTACTAAAACAAGCTCAAAAATGAAATCTAAGACCATATTCTGATTCCTCGTGAGAAGGAGCATCGAATCATACCAAGTTTGACTTGGATTTAAAAGAAAACACAATCTCATGTGTGTCCTGACTGTACCAAAACACAGGGTTATCTTGCGTTCTTGATTATTCAAAATGACTATATTGCTTGATATGGTGGCATAGCATATTCAATAGAGCTTAGCTTGCTCTACAACTCTAATAGTACAGAATTATCAGCATTTTTGACATGGCTAAAATATTGAGTCAACTTTCTTAAGTAGTGCTTTCACCTATTATATTCCTTAAAGCTGTCCGCCTTGGAAATCTGTAGTTGTTACAAATCACTTGACTCAATTTCAATGAAATTTGTAGAGCTTTCAAAGCTGACTGTTTTGGTAAAAAAGATATGTTATTTGATGATGGGTGTGGGTGTGGATTCATACAAGTTCTACACTCGCACCCACACACTAATCCTGAGTTTTGGTACAGTCAGTGAGCAGTCAGGACATATATGAGATTGAGTTTCCTTTTAAATCCAAGTCAAATTTAGTATGATTCGATGTCCCTTCCCACGAGGAATCAGAATATGGTTTTAGATTTCATTTTTGAGCTTGTTTTAGTAATGTAAACTATCAAAAACTATTTGTTAAATTTTTTTCAAAAAAAAATCATTTTTTGAAGATTTTCGGTTTTTAGTGCCTAAAGTATTTTGAACTTATCTCTCTCAAAACAAAAGCTTTTCGAAAAATTTTTTTTATTAAAATGTTTAGAATTAAAAGTTCTTTAAATGCTGAACGTTTCATCAAAATCGAAGGTCACTTTTATATGCACGGTGGAAACCCCATGGAAATACCCTCACGTGTTTCAGATATCAACATTTTCGGAAACCCATGGGGATTTTCAAAGTTTCTGAAACCGATTTTCAACTTAGAAAACATTTTTAAAAGGTTTCTGAGATCACTACAAAAACTATTTCGACGTCAAAAAAGTCCCGAAACCTATTTTTTGGGGTTTCTACAAAAGGGAATATTGAAGTATAGGAGTAGAAATTTTAACACTCTCCCCTGACAGACATAACCATGTAACCAAAGTCCACTGCAGAATCAGTACGATAGTTGTCCTTAACTTTTCTTTCACACTTGCTTATGATTTGGAAATATTTATTAAAATAACTACTAATCGATTTCGTTTAAGTGATACGTTCTGATGTCACCATTTAACATATTATCATCAACAAATGTATTTGACAAAATCAAAGAATTTTCTTCAAAAATAAAATTTTTTTGAATGATATTAAACTTCTTAATTCTAAAGTAGATAGCAGGAAGTATAGAACTTGATATAGTCAAATCTTTATATTCTGCAAATTTGAACATCAAATTTTCATCTTCATAAAGAACATTTTTGAGTGTTAAAAATCGAAAATAGATTGCAAAGGGACAAATCAATTGATATTCAGAATTTTCATCTACAGATGAAAATAAATACAATGACCATCACATTAACATAAAAGATTCACTTATGAGTTCTATATTGTTTGGTTCTGATAATGACACTTACTTACTGTCTGCTGCTGATCTTACTGTTCCGTCCGATCCAATGAAGCAGAACAAAGTATGAAAAATATTAACCCTGTAAACATCTCTGATGAATAGTACTTTACTTTTTGAAATATATTCACCATTTATGCTGTTCTCACAGCAAAATCTTAAACGAAGTGAATATATATTGTTTTATATACAAATATAAATGAACGAATAAACAATCAAAAGAAAAGAAGTAGTAGTAATGTTATATTAAATCAATTGATTAATTTCTTTCATAAATGTATCATATGCATCATCAGTTGATGGTCCAGTCATCATTAAATGTTGATTTGTCATACCAGTTGTATTTCCCATACGTCCTTTCATTGAAAGTGGATCTTCAAAACGAGATGTTGATTGTATTCCACTTGTTTTATCTGTAGTTTTAATACCAGTACTACTTGTTGTACCACTACGTTTGACTTTAAGTACAGTTGGTACAAATTTTGTAACATCTTGACGTGCTCTATTAAATAAAAACATATATATATATATTTATATGAAAGAAAAAAAAACAAGAGATAAATATTCAAATTAAAATACCTTATTTGAGGTTTAGCTTCAAATGTCATACTAGGTTTAGTTGGTACAGGTGCTGGATTCGATGATATTGATGTTTGTGGTGGTTTTACAATAAGACTTGGTGGTGCACTGAATACATTTGGTGGTTGTTGATGAATTAATTTTGATGATGGTACATTCGGAGGAAATGATGGTCGAACATTAGGAGGCACTCGAACATCTAAAAAATATTGATAATTAAATAAAACAAAATTTTCGTGTGTATATAATTTTTTTTTTTACTTGGATTTGCAGCAAAAAATGCAGCTGGAGGTGGTGGTGGAGGTAATCGCATTCCTTAAAAAATGGAAATTATTCATTATTAACTACAAAAAAGAAAATTTTTTTTTTCTATATGTAAACAAACCACGAGGAGGTGGTGGAAATGGTGGTGGCATAATGAGTGGTCGTTCCTACAAGAAAAAAAAACACTTATTTTTTTTTGTTATACAAAAAATTAAATATATACTAACTGTATTATATTGTGGTGGTTCAGCAGCTGCAGTAGCAACTGGTGTACCAAATTCTGCTTCTTCAGTTGGAATATTATCACTCCATCGACTAACACTTGCTGTCGTTGGAACTGACGATGAATCAGCAAAACGAATACGTCGTCGTTCTTTTAAATAAATAAATTAACTTTAGAAAAACAAAAAAAAAAAAAGATTTTCTTTTATAATAAATTACCATTTTGTTGAGGAGGTTTTGATGTTGATGGTGTTTCTGAAAATTGAAATGATTATATAGAATGTAAATTTTGAATAATAATTACCTTCTTCATCATCACTAATATCTTCATTATCACTTAAAATTGGTGGTCGACCAGGTGGAGGACCTGGTGGTTTTTTCGTAACAACAATACGTTGTGTTTGTTCGCTTGAACTTTAAAAAGAAAACAACAAAGGAAAATTTCATATAGTATAAAATATCAGTTTGGGTTTTTTTTCTAATTTATTTACTCTTTTTGTTTTAGAATACTTCGTGGTGCATCATGATGACTTGTTGGCATACTATTTATTTCACTTGCTATAGATCCACTAGGTAATTCCGGCATTGGAATTTCATCAACAGTTACACGTTGTGTTTCTTTGACTGATTCTATTAGAAATTTATAAACAAAAACAAAACAACAAATATAATAGGAAATTCTAAAGATAAAAATCTTACCAAACCAAGTAATAAGTTGACCACGTCCTCTTTCATACTCAGCTAATAATGAATCCATTTGTGTTACTGATTCTGGTTGATCTTTTGACTAAAAAAAAATAAATTTTGTTGAATGTTTATCTTCTAATTGTTGTTTTCTTTTTTCTTTACTTACATAAAGTCGATAAACTCGATCCCATGTTTCTTTAACTTTTTTACGTTTTTCTTGTAAAACTTTAATATTATATGGTGCTGGATTAACTGGATCATATTCCATTCGATCAAGATGTTCCATTTCCGAAATAAGACCTCTAGGATTTTTTCCTTTAAGAACATTTTGTCGAACTAATAAACGTTGTTTTTTATTTTTCTTTAATTCTTTTTTTCGAGCTTCTTTTCCTTAAAATACAAAATAAAATGAGAATATTATTTTAATATTTGAATTACACAAAAACAAAAAAACAAATTTACGAGCTTGATCCGTTGGATTCATAAATTTTCCACTTTTTGTCGTACTAATATTTCGTCCACCCATTGTTTTAAATCTGGACGAAAAAAAATGACTTATTTTATTTAGTAATTCTATAATGAATTTCCAAAGAATGACTAAGAAAAAATATTTCTCCTATTTTTATTGTTGGAAATGTTATCCAATAAAGAAAATTTCTTTAAAATTTTTCATTGGATTATTTTTTTCTCGATTGTTTTATATTATGTGTTGGTTAATTGAAGTCATACAATATTCATTCTTATTTTAAAATATATATATATATAAGTTTTTGAATTATTTTTCTATCCGTTTCTTTGTTTTTGTCAATCGAAATAAATTATTTCAAAATTAATATTTTCAGAGGAAATCTGAATCATATGTCGAATGTCTGCATTTTTTTTTCAAAATAATTTATTATTCAATAGAAAGATTTCTTCTTTTTTTTTTGTTTTTTGCAAATGAATTATAAAACAAAAAAAAGAAATGATGTTGATTTTAGACAGAAAAAAAAATGTTATAATGAGGAATTAATGTAAAAACCAATAAATGGATTTTGAATTTCGAGCACAACAAGATCAAGATCGACGATCAGTTGAAGATCTTTTTGCATTTCAAGGTCGAATGATTGGTCGTGGAACTTATGGAAAAGTTTTTAAAGCTAAAAGAAAAGATGGGTTAGATTTTTAATTGATATTCTATATATATGTTTATTTTTTTCTTCTTGTTTCTATCAATAGAAATGATACAAATGATTATGCATTGAAACAAATCGATGGTAATAAAAAAAAAGAAATATCATGTTTATTTATAATTCAATTTTTACTTTTCTAGCAACTGGACAATCAATGTCGAATAGTGCCATACGAGAAATTGCTGTAAATTTAATTCTAAATTTATTCTTTTGTTGATTTAAGCTTATTAATTCTAGTTACTTCGAGAACTTAATCATATTAATCTCATTAATTTACAACGTGTATTTTTATCACATGAAGATCGTCGTGTTTCATTATTATTTGATTTTGCTGAACATGATCTTTGGGTATGTTTGATTAGATTTTTTTATGATTTTTTCATTCGAATAAACGTAAAAAAAAAAAGAACAAAGAGGAATTCACCAACAGACAAAATGAAATAGGTTCTTAATTAACCAGGGATTACAGCCCATTGGATTCAAAATTTTTCGAGCTGGATTAAATTCCCAGACTCAGTCGAGTTTGAAACCAATCCTGCAGGTTCCCCGAGTAGGATCCTCTTGCTCATATCTACTGTCATTTCTATAGCAAGAATAGACAGCGACAGTATCATTAAAAGTTTTAAATGAAGATACAAAGTGTTGATAGGTCATAGTATGTTTCATCGGTTACATTCTCTGGTTCACCCTATGATTTCAGATTCTTTATTTTGTAATTTTCTATTTGATGATATTTATACTGTTCATATCTATTTTCATAGCATTATTCCATTCATAAACTCGGTATTTTTGTTGTTTAATAAATTCTGAAATCTGAAAAAATGTTTACCGATTCTAATTTTAAAGATTTGAATATAATTAAAATATTCAGTTCTTGTATGAGAAACAAATAGAAAATTTTAATCTATCTTCTCTCTCTCCTTTGTAGTATTTTTCGAGAATGATTAATCAGAAAAATTTTAAGAATGTTTTCTTGTCGGACATATCCATGTCACAAAGTTTGAAAGTCGCTATGCTCTGTTAGCTACAACACACTTTATAGAGTTGACATTTTTTTTTTAATATGCACTTTTAAGGTACGTAGGTTTTTGTTTTCGTCCTTCGATTCGGATGAAGCAATCAAAACACTGATTGTAATCCCTAATAAAAAAACAACTGTAGATTATATTTTGAAATACAAAAAAATGCAAAACTCCTAAACACTCACAAGTACAAGTAGAAAACATTTTCAATTCGATCTAATGTAATGTGATTGAGAAAATGTTACATCTTGAAATATATTTATTTGATAAGAGAATATATTTAAGTTGTAAATCAAATAATAAATTGTATATTTTAGTTATGAATGAATTTCTAAAAGATTCAGGACTATGACATACTAGTATAATTCATTGATGATAAACTAAATGTAATTAAAAATGATTCTATTATATCTGAATTTAAAATCTCGAGAAAGAAACTTTAAATTCTTTTATTAAATAAAATATATATGATTTAGCATATAATTAAATATCATCGAGCTGCAAAAGCTTCAAAAAAAACTGTTCCATGTGCACCGGGTATGATCAAATCGATTCTTTATCAAATTCTTGCTGGTATTCATTATCTACATTCAAATTGGGTATTACATCGAGATTTAGTAAGTACATAGAAACACACACACACACAGAACGATTCTTTCTAATCCTTTTATTGAATCTATAGAAACCAGCTAATATTCTATTAATGGGTGATGGTGCTGAACGTGGTCGAGTCAAAATAGCTGATATGGGTTTTGCACGATTATTTAATGCACCACTTGTACCATTAAGTAAAATTGATCCAGTTGTTGTTACACTGTGGTATCGTTCGCCTGAACTTCTTCTTGGTAGTCATCATCATACAAAAGCAATAGGTTAATAATCATTTTTTTTTCTTTTGAAATAATTATTAGATTTTATTTGTTTTGAAATAGATCTTTGGGCTATTGGATGTATTTTATATGAATTATTAACACTTGAACCATTATTTCATTGTAAACAAGATGATATAAAAGCATCATCACCATTTAATCGTGATGCACTTGAAAAAATTTTTCAAGTACTTGGTTATCCATCAGGTATGAATTTTAACATTCACTACTGAACCGAATTTATTAGAATAATGTATTTTTTTCTTCTATATTACTGAGCATTTAATTCAAATCTTTATTAGTAATTTAAATAATTAATGAAATTTTCTTAGATGGAAACTTAAGCAGACGTAGAAAAAACAAAAACAGCTGAGTCTTCATTCGGTTCAGAATTTTTCATTCTTTCAGATGAAATTTGCATAAAAACAGTTTTCATACAAATGTTGCGAAATGTTGTATTCGAGTTTTCAGGAAGCTTACTTCCATACTATATCTATAGAATCTTCATATACAATGCATTGTATAAGGAAATAGTCGAACAGACACAATGTAGAATCAAAATTGGATTAGACATTTAAAATTTTTAGCATATATACTTTCGTTTTAAATTAATAAATTATTTTTAGATAATGATTGGCCCGGTATCAAACAAATGCCTGATCATCCACGATTGAGTAAAGAAGGTTTTCGAGCTATTCAGTAATTATTTCGAGATTAATCTTCGATTAATTTAATTTAATTTATTGGTTTTGTTTTAGTTATGGTCATTGTAGTATAGAACAATGGATGAAAAAAGTTTTTCCTAATGGACATCCAAGTTTTTCATTAGATTTAATGAAACGTTTTTTAACATTTGATCCTAATAAACGTATTACAGCTGAACAAGCTCTTACTGATCCTTTTTTTAAACAATCACCATTACCTCATCAAGAGTATGTCTTTATATTTAATAAAATAAACATTTTTTTGTTTTGTTTGTTCTCTATTTTATTTTATTAGCGCTTTCCATGGTATGGAAATTCCATATGGAAAACGAGAGTTTATTATTGAAGACGAAGACCAACAACAACAGCAACAACCAGCTGTTCAACCTGCACCTCCTCTAATCGAAGAATCATCAATACAAGTAACACAAGAAAATTGTCATGCACCTGTTCATAAGATGATTATTGTACCAGAACAACATACACATGTACATCTTCTTGTAAGAAGAAATATTTGAAATAAATTTATATTTATTATTATTCAATTCTTAGGCTATGCAAGAAAATCATGAACCTATTGCAAAACGACTTAAAACACAAGAACCACCTTCTTTCTATGCTCAAGTATATATAGTGAATAAATATATATTATTCTATTGATTTGTTTTTTTTTTTTTTTTTTTATAGAAACCATTAGTTTCATCACAATTGCTCAGTCTTCATCAGCAACTTCGACGATAGATTATTATTTACACTTATTTTCTATTTTGTGCTCGATTTCTATTTGTCAGATATTAATAAACCAAAACTAAATATAAACTCCGGTGAATATAAGGCTATGCACATTTCTTTATTTGCTATGAAAAATAAAAATTTAACAATAATCATATATTCAATGAAGTCATTATATCAATCAATAGAACATCAACTAATATCTCTAGTTTCTTGTGTTATTCTTGATTGATAAAAAAAAAACAAAATGTATTCAATTAAAAGATTTTGGTCTAACCTTCATGACAAAATAGCACATCATATCTATGTACAAACAAGAGAAGTCAAAAGTAAGGGAGTCCAAAATTTTTTCATTGTGTATTTTCGTAAGCAAGAGTCATCCAATTAGTCAACACTAACTCTATCGAAACGAAGAACTTCGATAATAATTGAACATTCATCAGTTCCAGAGGATAACAAATTGATTGCAATGAACTATGAAAATATATATCGTGATGACGTATACTGATACTACACCTGAATCACAAGGATCACACAGCAGTTTCAAGAAAAAAAAGATTCAATCAAGAATTTAAGAATATAAAAATCATGTCAAATCATTCAAGAAAAGCAAGAAACTGAAGATGACACTATCGAACTATTTGTCCTCTGAATAATGTTTTTCCTTAGTATAACTATTAATTTCCACTACAATCAATATATATATATATAGGAAATACTTTTATTAACAATTTTTTGTTGATATTTAAATAAAATGAAGATTTTTCTAATATGATAATAATAATATTCAACAATTATTTGAAATTCTTCAAAAATCACATATTCAGTTTTTAGAGTATCCTTGGCTTGATTATCCGTAGCATCAGTACTATTGCATGTTTCGGAATCGAGCATATGGGAGACGAGAATAAGTGGGTTTAAAGTGCTAGTAATGGATGTCTTTGAATAGTACGGAGTGCAAAAAAAACTACCCTCTTGAGATTAAAATATAACGAAATATTTATTTATAATTATAAATGACCTAAATTATATACCAACAGTAACAATAGTGAATGTGCAAATATACAATATATATAACAACAAATTAATACAATCTTACAATTGAAAAATTTAAATCAAACAATAATCACTATTTTTTCACCCTATGTGGACCTATTTCTTTATCATATATTAGAAAATTTAATTTTAAGAGAGGATCCATCAGACTATTGATCAAACATGCATACGACAAATTTTGACTTTTAAATAAGTTATACCATTCAAAAGCTCGAGAAAAGTTATGTTCAAACCCAAATTTTTAGTCCCTTCTGGAAGTCCTATCAAGAGATATGAACGAATCTTTGAATCCACCCTCAGGTACTATTTTATGAATTTTAGAGAATTCTATGTAACACGTTATGACTACATACATTTACATCAAAGATCCTTCTGTTTTAGTATTAGTTAACGTATCTTGATTAGATCTGTAAAATATACTATGATAGAACAAGATTGTCCAATATAAATCATGTCTAAGGAGTCTCTAATGTGTTATTTGTAACTAAATAAATCGACAAAAATAATCATTTTTTATGAAAAGTTTTTATATTTTTGCTCTGAAAGTATACCAGAGCAATTCTCTCTTCAAAACCTTTTTGCATCAAGAGAAAGTCTGTCAAAAACTGCATCTTTCTATATATAATTCAACAAACAAAATATGTGGAGAGGTTATTTAGTTTTTGAGCTCAAAGAAGATCATTACGATGGGAAATAGGTCCACAAAGGTGAAAAAATAGTGACTATTGTTTGATTTAAATTTTTCAATTGTAAGATTGTATTGAATTGTTGTTGTATATTTGCACATTCACTATTGTTACTGTTGATATATAATTTAGTTCATTTATAATTATAAATAAATATTTAGTTACATTTTTATCTCAAGAGGGTAGTTTTTTTGCACTCCGTACTAATCATAGGTTGAAAATAATGAAAAAATGCCACGACATACGAGGCTTTACCTTATCTGTCAAAGAATCAGGTATTCATTAACCCTAACTCTCATCATTTTCAAGGTAATTCTCGATGATTTAGTTACTACATATATATATATATATGTGCACACACTTCTTCTGATCTCTGATTTTTTTCGTCCTTTTCTTTCGTTCTCGTTCTGCTACTGTGGTACCTGCTTATGTCTTGATTTCTTTTAATAAATTACAAACAAATAGTGCTCACAATCTTGGTGAAGTGCACAATTAAAAAGAACTGATCAATTACCCAGTTCTCGGAAAAAGAACTAGTCACTAGATCCAGTTCTCAAAAGAAGAACTGGTCACTGAGTCCAGTTCTCAAAAAAAGAACTGAGACTTATCACAGGTCTAGATTGAGCTACTATCAAGTCGAAACAATGGAGTCTTCCACTAATTTCTGACAGCTGGTTTTCGTTATTAACTAACTCAGAACATTTATTTGTTCAATATTATTTGGATATTATGTCTGGAATATGTCATGACTTTCATGACTTTCATGACTTTCATGACTTTGGTGACTTTGAAGGTCATCAAATTCATGAAGTCAGCTGTTTCCTCCGTTGCTCTATAGTCACTAAACTTGAATACAATAACAAATATTAATTAGTGTATAACTCATACCTTTTTTAGTCGTGTTATTTGATTCAGACATTCCAAACTCAATTAAATCTGATCATCTTATTTCAACAGGTCGAAAAGTTCTTCTAATCCAAAATTTGAATTTTAATGAATTGGGTCATATATGTTCCTGAAAAAATGTCCTCTCATTAATGTTCCCGCTAATTGGTCCTTTGAAAAAATGTCCTTCGATAATTGTCCTTTTGATTTATTGTCCTCGCAGGAATGTCCTCGGCTAAAATGTCTCCGACGATATTGTCCATAGAAATAATGTCCTTCACATGTACATGTCTTTTTAAAAAAAAACATCAATAAATTCTAATGATGATATTGATGAAATTCTTTTTTTATTCTCTATATCGTTGATCTTATTTTTCATTTGCAACAAAAAAGGACAATCCGATAAATAAATCTTTTTGTGTTATTAAACCATTAGTAAAGCTATCATATAATTCTGACATTAAGATAGTTTTGAAGGTTTTTTGAAGCTTGTCGTTGAAATTTAATGAATTTTATTTTGTTTTTACTTTCATCGAAACTTATTTCTAAATTTTTGATAGGATCAGTATAAGATACACGAACTCTACGAAAAGAATGGAGAACATATAATTAAAATACACATAATCTACTGTCATTTGTCCTAGTACTCTTTAATTTTTAAGTAGAAGAACTTTTTTCTAAGGACATATAATCTGTGAACATTTCTTCTAGGATGTTTTACTTAGGGACATTTTTTCAAGAGCATTTTCATCGAAGGACATTTGTAAAAGGACATTTATTGCTAAGGACAATTTTTCGAGATCCTTTTTCGAGGACCAATATCCGAAGACATTTATAAGAGGACATTTTTTTTTATGGACATTTATGACCGTTACCGTTTTAATGACATATTTAGATTTTGTGCTTTAAGAACATTCAAAATATTTTAATACATATCGTTCTTGATTATATACTTCACTCTTTTTTAAACATCTATTGTATTGATACATGATTCAAATTTTTCATAAAAAATATTCATTCTAACAGAAAATTTTGTCGGAGACAAAACAGATCAAAATAAATAACTAAAAGATTCGACATAGTTTATGTTTATTTCTTATATGTTTCGTAATAACAACCATCAATAAATAAGGATCTAGACAATAAACAAGAGATTCTAAAATTTATTAATTAGTAAATCTTATTAGTAAATCTTAAATATAAAAACTACAAACACTAAAATTTTGAAATATTTTTCAGTTATTTGATAAATGACCTTAGAATAACAACCTGTTTTACTTCGTTCTAATATCAAAAAAGATAAGTAAAACAAGAGAGATTAATTAGGATATGACTCATATTAACAACAAAATAGAATATTCAGAATAGTGAATATTATCAAATAAAAAATTTTTAATTAAAATGAGAAAAAAATTATATATGTTAATATATTGTGATATAAGAGGTTTAATATATTTTTGTTTCGAAGCAATTCTTGAAAAGACTCTTTTTCTTATACGTTAGCAATGCTTTATTTATAAAAAATTTTGTTTTCTTTTTTTTGTTTTTTTTGTTTTTTTATTATTTCGCGCATTCCAATCTCAACTAAATTCTCATGTCAACTGTGACATACAGTAATGCTCAAAATTATAAGACCATGTCACACTGACCATTTAATTTCAAGTTCTTTTTTTTTTATATCAGATTTTCTTTCTAGATTTATTGTATTATATAGAGTCAGCTGTGCTCTTTCATAATATAGTGAGAAAAGTTTATTATTTCATATAGTTATCAAAAAACAAAAATTTCAAAAAAAATAGCCTAAATTTAGCTGCTCAAAATTATAAGACCATCTACATTTCTAATTTTTTTTTAAATTGAGCTTCAGACTGCTCATTGATCAGATATTATATAAGTGGAACGGCATCTCTCGTAATATTATTTTACTTTATTTTAGATTTTTTTGTCAGATACTTTTTTTGTAAATAGCACTTTACCGGTGTAATTGATGATCATGGGTCGTGTCAAAGTATCTTTAGAGAAGAAAACTGAAATTAAAGCTTTGGTGGAAGCTGGATTTACTCAACGTGATATTGCCGAGAAACTTGGTGTGTCAAAAACATGTGTTTTTGGTGTAGCAAAAAAATTAAAACGAAATTTACCTTTATCAAATTTACCTGGACAAGGACGCAAAAAAGCATCAACAGCAATTGATGATCGAAACTTATTACGTTTATGTAAAAAAGATCGAACAAAATCCAGCCAATTACTATCATCTGAGCTAGTGCTTTCAAATGGTAAACGATTGAGTGCTCAAACAATTCGTCGTCGACTTGTTGATATGGGGTACAAAAGTTACACAGCAAAGCGAAAGCCCTATCGAAAACCTTCACAACGAAAACAACGGCTCTCCTTTGCTCGACAACATCAATATTGGATGAAGGAATGGAATAATATCATCTGGAGCGATGAAGCACATTTTGAAGTACTTAATCGTAAAAATCGTACATTCGTTCGACGTTTACAAATTGAAAGTAATGAACCATTTAATTTTCTTCCAAAGGTACAAGGTGGTGGTGGTAGTGTTAGTGTATGGGGGTGTATGCCAGGTGGTGCTCGTGGTCCGTTGGTGATGTATTAGGGTAATGTTAATGGTCCCGCTTATATTAAGATAATTGAAGAAGCGTTACCAATGTTCATTGAAAATACATTTGATCCAACAAACAAAGAATGGGCTTTTATGCAGGATAATGCACCACCACACAAGTCGGCATGTTCTATGAAATGGTTCAAAGATAATAATATTAACATATTTAAATGGCCGGCGACATCACCCGATCTTAATCCCATTGAAAATATTTGGGATCACATTGACAAAGAATTACAAAAAATGAAACCCACGAATGTTACCCAATTGCAGGAAATGATTCAAGATATTTGGCTTGGTGTAACACCTATGTATTGTCAAAAACTAGTCAATTCCATGCCAAATCGTATAAAACAATGTATCAAATCTCGTGGTGGTACATTCAACAAATATTAATAAGAATCTCCAAAAAGACAATAAAAAAATATAGATGGTCTTATAATTTTGAGCAGCTAAATTTAGGCTATTTTTTTTGAAATTTTTGTTTTTTGATAACTATATGAAATAATAAACTTTTCTCACTATATTATGAAAGAGCACAGCTGACTCTATATAATACAATAAATCTAGAAAGAAAATCTGATATAAAAAAAAAAGAACTTGAAATTAAATGGTCAGTGTGACATGGTCTTATAATTTTGAGCATTACTGTATATACGACATGCATAGTGACATACTGGACATTTCCGAAAACGAAAGAAAATATTCAAAGGAGAAGGAGAGAAAAACAACAAAAAAGAATATGCCAACATGCATAATGGTAAATGGAAGAAATATCAAAGGAAAACACATGAATATCACTAGATTACAGATTCTATAAAATTCCATAGAATCAATGGAATCAGTGACGTCAGTATAGTCATAGGATCACTAGAATCATGAGAGTCACTTAATATTACTTAGAGAATCAAAGAGATCAGTGAAGTCATTAGAATCATTTGGAATCAATAGAATCAATATATATTCAGCGAAGTCAACCTTTTCTATCACAGCAATATTCCAAGCAGATAAACTTGATATGTTATACTGATTTTGAGTGTCTTATATTCGATCTGTTCTCACATCGAGTTAGCAAATCAAATGTAGATAAAACGAATGAAATATTCAAATCATTTGTTTATCTTCTACGTTTTATATATAGAATGTTTATTCTTTTAAATAAAAAGATCATCAGATAGATATCAGTGTTGAAGAAGAAAACAAAGAGATATTCGTTATGGATTATTCACCTCTTCAATCTGACGTGATTTTCTTTCTATTCAAATAATTGCACGACACATGTATCGATAGATATTCGATAGAGTGTTGTGGTTTATTCATTTATGCATATTACATAGAAATGAAATTCTTTCCTTTTCTATTCTCGTCCATAATTTATCTTTAGATTTCTTTTTATATAAGGCAAGTTAGTTACTCATTCGAATCTTTTTTTTTCACAACGATTCGCACAATCACTTGTATCAAATGCAACATGACGAACACTATCAAATATGTTCAATAACATTTTTTTTATTCTAGATTATAATCCAATGGGTACAAACAACGATTTAATTACAGACAAATTCAAATTTATCATGGAACATGTACATGATATGTTCGAAAAAAATGATTTTGTTGCAATAAAAAATTCAGTAAGAAAAACCAAAAGTTTTGGCGACATACTTTATGTTATCTTGTTAAAGGTATCTGGTGCTGGTCTTTATGAAATTATCAGTCAAACGTCTACTGGTCGATATTATTATGATAATATTACTATTCAAGTACAAGCACGACGAAAAAAAAATGATATATTTTTAACGGATCTAAGACAACTGATCATGGGATAACTTATCACGGACAACTGATCATGATCATCTGATCATGGAAAAACTGATCATGACGACAACTGATCATAGACAACTGATCATAAGGGATAACTGATCTTGAGGGTATGGGTGTGGATGTGGGTGTGAGTGTGTGTGGGTGTGGGGTGTGGGTGTGGGGGTGTGGGGGTGGGGGTGTGTGAGTGTGGGGTGTCGGTGTGGGTGAGAAGCAAAATAGGTATCACACCCACACCCACACCCACACCCACACCCACCCACACCCAAAATCATAAGAAATTTATTGATTATTTCAAATAGTTTGATCAAGTTGGAATTTGATATTAAAAAATAGAATACTTAATGATTGAAAATTTACTTTCATTTAAGTGTGTATTGTGGAAACGAATCTGCAAATAAAATGAGCATTTGTATATTATGAAAGTAAATTTATGTTCTAGAAAAAGTCATATTTCAATGTCATTTGTCATGGACTGGAAGATAGTCATTTCGTTTGATATGTGCACATATGAAGAAACATACACATAAAGTCCAATAAAAATCACAGAATTCTGTTTATTTTATTTCCATATTCGATATGTTGATGTCTATTTCAACACAATAAATGAGACACACAGATCTTTTGTTTTTTTGTGTATCGTGATGTACATATCTCCATACATTTGCATCAATAGT